ATTGTAAATCTGAATCGTGAATGCATCCGTCGGTCGGGCCGTGGCGGCGACTCATCGCGGCTGATTATGGTAGCTCATGCAGCCCGGCCGCACCACGTGGGCTGCAAATGCGAATTGGGCTTGATGCTTTCAGCAGCCAGTTCTGTTATCGAAATCGTTTCACCGACTTTCGCTTGAGTGATTCAAACTTGTGACTGTATGTGAGTGTGTGACCATATATACTCAAGACTCACGACTCACTCTCGTGACTGCCTGGCTCCCATCACGCTCTCCTCGATCAAGCAGTCTTCAGTCAGCACGAACAGGGAGGGGCGCTGTGCAGCACGTGCAGAAAGTCGCGCTATCTCGCGCTGACCGACCGCGTGAGCGGGCTGCTGCGCCAAAAATCTCGCATCGCTTCCCGCGGTGGCGCAGCAGCCTGATTGCGCCCACCACCACCATGCACGTTCTATTTCGAGGATCAGCTAGCGCTCATCAGCGGTAGTCTTGTCGGAGCGGAGCTGGTCGGTGTCGTGAGTGTGTGCTGACTGACGTTGACCTCGCCGGCGGCTCGTTTCAAGCGGAAGAGGGAGCAAATTACGCTCCAAGGAATCCTTCACACGCTCTCCTATCGCAAATAGCGTGTTCTGACGGCAGCGAGGCTGCTCATGCAACATGCAGTAGCAGCGAGGTGCTGGCGTCGGCCGCCAGCAGACATGCAGCATGCACGCTCCACGCGGTCAACAATTCTTCCTACCACCATCAATCACATCACTAGCAGACACACCAGGCCGAGTGGATGCGCGCGCAAGAGAAGACGAAATGATCGTCGAGGAGAGAGCATGCGGAAGAGCTCGTCGAAAGGTCAAGAGCGATTAGTGGCTGATGTGCGTGGGCGCAGCAATCGTCAATGATGGATCGAACCCTGCAAGACGATCATGTGAGCCGCTGCAGAAGGAAGCAATCAATCGAGCTCCACTCCAGGTACAGACTTGACGCTCAGCAGATGAGCAGCGCGAGCGGAATGGCTCATCGACTGATCGTCCATGTGCTCGGCTAGCGAGAGAGCTAAGGGCGGTCGATAGCGCTGGCGCATGAAGTTGCTGCAGACCTCGTGGCATGGGTTGCGAAGGTCTGCTGAGCCTCTATTCACGATCGAATGAGCCTTGACGAGCTGCTCACAGGGCCAAATGTAGGTCATGCCGGGGCAGTGCCATCGGGGCTAGATTTTATCGATGAGACGCCTCGCGGTGGAAAGATCCGCGCCCTCGTCTAGCGTTGTAGTGTCAAGCTAGCTGCTTGATTACATGGCATGGGAAAAAACATCTTCGTACTCGAGGTCCACGTTGAAGTGAGTCAGGCATCCGTAAGCGTGATGTAACGAATCTCCGCTCTGCAACGCTCGGCGTGGGCATGCAATCGGAGGGAAGCGAAAGCGGAATGCTAAAGGATCAGACTGTCAAACTTTCACCATGCTCCCTGCCAAAACGAGCACCACGAGGTCGTGTTTCGAGAGAGCAGATCATTGGCGCAATCAATCATGTGGATCGTCTTCACGACGCGAAGAGGTACAGGTGACACTATGTAGTCAGCGAGATACCCTTGCGCTTCAGAGGTGGGTGTTGCACGTCACTCGTCCTTCTCAAGGACGCCAAGAAAGCTTAAAAGGCAGCCCCCTGATCGACTGAATTTGCATTCTCTTCTCCTCACAACACAACACAACACTCAAGCACTCCACTCACTACACGAGCTCTCGACGAACACAGCTGGTCTGGTTCTCCAACTCGCTTCTTCTTCTTTATCGAAACTTTTCTATCTTTCTCCTTCTCTTTCGAAGCACCTTGCGCTCGAATCTTCTCTTTGGCACATTACTTTA